CAACAAAGAACCTTACATTCCCCTCAAAATATTCAGTCATTTAAGTGTTCTTGTATGGAAACCTCTGGAAAATAACCATTAAGGCAGTCCTATATAGCATAACACATTGGATTGACACATGCACATACTCAAAACACTGATGCAAATTGAAATTAACATTGATGGTAAGTGCTACATAAATTCATACCTGAGTACAGAACTGATCCTTCTTTTCAGCAAAACTAATATCTGCTTGTTTAAATAACCAAAGCTTGTGCTTTTACCTGGTCCTCTAGTTTATCTTCCTTAGCAGATGGAACAGACCAATGTCTAACTGAAAATTGTTTTGCAGCTAAGAAATAAATCTAGGCAGATTTTTTTCGGATTTTGTTCTGTTCCATCTGATCTCATCAGCAGACATGTGGAACCTATGGAAGAATAGAAATATGAAAAAAATAGAAACACAATACCAAGAAATTATCAGAATTTTTTTTTCTGTGTAGAGATGAATATGTGGAAACATTAATTAATTATGGGAAAGTGTTGATTGAAATAAATTATTAATTTTGGAAAAAAGAAAACTACATTTTTATGTAAAAATTCTCTGAACATATGTCTTTCCTTTTTATCGCAAAGAAACTATATCTAACTAAAATCTTTGTTTTAAAGCGATAATAATGAAAAAATGCTACAATTGTGCTGAGCCAGTCTTTTACAAAGAAAGACACAAATAGTGCATAAAAACACTCTTTGAATTTCAGATGGGAAAGTTTAAAAAGCTCAGCAATTCCTTTGGGATGGGAAAAGAGGTTACTGCCCAATTCTGCTCAGAACTAGTTATTAAGTTGTGTCTGATCTTGCAACTCAAGAATCTTAGACAAAATTTTAAGAAATAAAAAATATAGGCAATGCATCAATCACACTTATAATCATTAATTTCCAGTCCTACCTACTGGTAAATCAAAATGCAGTTATTAGTTAAGCTGTTGTTAACTATAATTATCTTTTGTTTGCTTCTTCTAGTCAGGTTGCCATAGGCATTGTCTGTATGACACTATTATATGTTTAAATACTGGAAAGCACTTTTGGCAGATCAGTCTTTACTTCAGCAGTACAATTGTTCAATGGAAGAAAAAACTTCTTTAAGTATTTCCTAAAAAGACATCATATGAGTGTAAATATATTATAAGCTGATGAAATTAAAAGATTGTTCCTCTTTAACTGATTCGAAATGAAATTCAGATCTCTAAGGAGAATATAAGCAAAATGATAAAATTAAGACCCTTGCTAACATTTGCTTCTTTGTGGTGCCTCAGACATCTGTGCTTAATTATACTTGTCAGTGGACAATATAACCTCTTCATGCGAGCTCACATGTATCTTACAGCAGAGGGAAGATGAAGTTTCTTGAAGAGAGCCTTACAAGTAAGTGTAAGAGTGTATTTGCCTTCTATAATTTCTCAGATGACAGCATATGAATAATAGACTTTGTGGCCCACTGCCATTGTTGGGTTGTGGTGGAAGAGAAACTTACATGGAAACAAGACATAGTTATGGTCTGACCAAACCCCTAGATTGTCCACGTTTTAATAAATCAGAAAGGTTTAGAAATTTCAAATTTGAAATAGCACTATTTAAGCATTTAGACAATTTAAAAATTAAACTTTCAAGTCTTTCTAATTAGGAACAGGAACTCAACCACTGATTGTTTTCACTTCTGATTCACAGTAGATTTGGAGATGCTGTTCCGTAAGCAGTGGCAGGCTTATATTGACACACAGGAGACCAGGGACAGACAGCTGAAACCAGCCATGTCCATGAAGATTTTTTAGCAACATTTGCTTTCATGTATTTATAACACAGTGATCAGCTACCCAAAAGCCCATACACAGGACTTACTACAAATGCCTTCCAACTTAGGGAATCAAAATGTATATGTTCCAAAGAAAGAAGCTGACAGATATTCAGAATCAATATGTTTTTACTTTAGTAATTTTCTTTCCCTTCTCACCAGCACTGGGATGTATTACAGGTAAACAATGTTGACAGAACAAATAATGACTCAAACCACTGTTTTTCCTAAATTGAACAGCTATGGGGCAGGCAATTTTTTTGTTTGTTCATTTTCCAGTGACTTTCTTTCATACTCCTCCCAAATGCAAAAACTAACAAATGAAAATCTCAGCAGTAGCTACTACTTCATAATTGCATTGGAAATATTACATCTTGAATGACCATAAATGAACTTTTTTAGTACTTGCTCACATGCTGTTTGTCGACATTTAGCACCAGTAATTCTGGTTTACTCTAATATAGCTCTTTCTTAGCTGGAGCCATGCAGAAGAGTATTTGGACCAATATCCTTGAGCTCCAGCAGGAGCTCAATGCTGGGGGAGTGGATTTCTGCTTAATTTTAAGTTCTTCTTTTCAGCACTTCTCTGATGTGTTTTACTGCTCAGACACTGAACAGTATCAGTGTAACAGGGGCAGCAGGATGATTCAAGAATAAGCAGCAAGAGATTAGGACAGTCAGATGAAATGCACACATCTGCTATAAAAAATGCTGCCAAACTGTGGACTAATATCATTAACAAATCATCCCACTGGCTCCTCTGAAATTGCCTTAGATGGTGAACCAAATTCAACCACAAGAGCAAGTCACTGCGATATTTTGCTTCTAATGTTATTAACCCACAGAGGACTGTGGGAGATGTGCTGTTATAATTGCATAGCGGCAAGATGTTCTGGGGAGAACTTTTTTAATTATTTGAGGATAGCATATATAAACTGATACATAACTGACATTTGATTTGTAAATACAGATACTTGGCTTCCAGTGTTGGCTCCACCTTTTCTGCAAATTCTCTTAATCCCTAATAAAACCCAAGTTCTCTCTCCTTTACTCTATATTGTCAGTTGCATTTATTCTGCTCTCTGACTGGTCCTGCACCTGAATGGTACTGAAACCTGCAAATATTTCTCAAAATATTGATGTCTGACTTTCCAGTAATTTATATTCCACTGATTTCATTGATGTCTGATGGATCATGATGACATCCACTGTAGCGGAGTCTAGGAGACAACACACAAATTTCTTCATGACAGGCGAGGTACAGGTCTCAATTTCATGTCATAGCTGATAAGCAGCTATTTATGTGCCAATGATTGAATCCCACAACTTTACAATCTACCTTTTCCTGTCACCTAGGAGCCCTGCCACCATCTCAACATGGTTCCTGCGTCATGGTGGTGCAACCATGCTATTTTCACCAACTAAACCACAATTTAGCATTTCAGTTTTGAATCATGTTTGCTTTGCTGCTTTGCAAATGAGGGTAAAAACTTCTTGAGTAGTGGAAACGCAGATTCACAGCTGCTGTTGATTGTTTTAACTCCTTTGATGTCAGTAATTGGAAGGAAGATGAATAGCAATTGAGGGGCTGTTTGACTTCTTTACACGAAACAGCCACTGCTCCACATCTGATGGCCCTCTGATGGCTCTGGAGCTGAGGACTTAAAAAAAGATACACTGCTGACTGGCTGACTGTCAGATCTTCCACTGTGCTGATCTCATTCCAGAAACTACATATCTGCATGTGGTCAGGATGACAAGATGTTTCACTCTGCATTGCCTCAGTGCCCGCTCTGGTAATTGCTCAGCATTTTGCAAAGTGTGAAACTTTCCACATTTCCACTAACTTAATGGAAATGCAATGGGGGTATTTTCCCGAGAAGCTTAAAATGCCATGTTCTGAATTTCCGTTAGAGGATGATAGTCTGCCATCTCATTGTTATTTCTAATGTGTATAATATTCAGTAGTTGCAAACATACTTGATTTTATTCCAGATACAGTAAGTAATCTTTTGCAACTAAAACTTTCATTTGGAAGTTCTTCTGTTCTCGTTCCTCAGATTCAAAATACCATTATACATAGGTTATCCATATACAGGGATTATTATAGCAACAGGGAAGCCCTTGTATTCAAAGAACTTCAATGAGGCAAGGTTTGCAGATAGAAGTAAAAACTTGATTTCAGGATGAACACAACTCAGTATGAGCTAAATCAAGAGTCGGGGACTGATTGCTGAAAACAGGCACAGAAAAGCTCCTCACTAAGATCAAGGGAGCCCTTTCAAGGTCTGCCAAATACCAGATCTCTTGCACAATGCTCATTTTCCTTTGTTCCTTTGCTCTCTGGAGGCATGGCTGCTAACTTTTTCAGCAACTGAAGAACTGAACAGGAATGTGAAAAAGTTACTCTAAAATGTAAAATAAGAGATGAGGGGTCGTTTTGACTACATCACACGTGAAAGGAAGGAGCCATAGGCAGTGAGCAGTCTTGCACAACATGGGTAGACCAGGCTCGCTGCGCTTTGCTTCTGCGGCACTGGTTTCAAGAATCAATTCCCCCCACCGGGGGACAGCAGGGAAGACCCCCTCAGCACAGCGACGCTGGGGAAGGCTTTCAACACAGGGGTACTGGGGTTTCTTCCTAAATCTAAAAGGAAAACCCCATCTTCTCCACACTTCCTCTCTCAGAACACGGTCCCGCGCTTGGGTGGAGCAGCCCGCCCGCTGCTCGGCGGGAGATTTTAGGACAAGTTTGCAGTATTTAGAACAAGTTTACCCGGCCGGGCAAGTGTGTCGAGGCGAAGCGAGGGGGACGCGGCCCTTTCTGCTCTGCCAGTGTCGGGATGGCCGCGTCCCCCGGGGCCGTGCACCGCCCGGGCACACGGGGGTCCGGGCGCCGTGTCCCTTCCGCAGCGTCCCCGTGGGCGCGGACGGGGCGGGGAGAAACCCGACCCCCGCCGCCTGGGAAGGGAGAGGGGCTGCGGCCGCGCAGGGAGAGGTGGCGGCGTGCCCGTGTGACTCCCCCATTCGTGGGGACACCCCCATGACGGGCTGCGCGGAGGGCGACCCGGGGCAGGGCAGGGCAGGGCAGCGCCGCGCCCCGCCCTGCCCTCTCGCCGAGCGGAGCGGCGGGGAGGCGGCATCGATTCGCTGCCGGTCGGCCGGAGCCATGCGGAGCTGCGGGAGGGCGCGGGGCGCTGCGGGCTGGGCCGCCCCGCTGCTCCTGCTGTGGCAGTGCCTGCCGACGGCGCGGCCCTACAACCTGGACACGCAGCACGCGCTGCTCTTCCGCGGCGGCAACGGGACCCTCTTCGGGTACTCGATTCTACTGCACCGCCACGGCGAGGAGCGATGGTGAGTGAGCGAGTGAGCGAGTGAGCGAGCGATCCCCCGGCCCGGCCGCCCTCGCGGGGGCCTGCGGCTTCTTGTCCCGCCCGCGGCTCCTCACGCTGCCGTCTCTGCCCCGCAGGCTGGTGGCGGGCGCGCCCCGGGCCAGCTGGCCCGCCAACGAGTCGGTGGTCAACCCCGGGGCCATATTCCGGTGCCGGATCGGGGGGAACGCCAGCGGAGGGTGCGAGCAGCTCCAGCTGGGTGAGTCGGCGGCGGGGCGTGGGTGGGGAGAGCCCGGCGCGGGGCGGCGGCCGGGCACGGAGGGTCGGTGCCTGGGCACGGAGGGTCGGTGCCCGCCGCCCTGCGCGCACCCGGCTCCGCTCCGGTGCCTGGCGGAGCGCTGGGCCCTTCCGGCTCAGAGTGCAGCGTGCTCTGCCTCTAGCCCAAGGGCGAGATCAAAGCTGTTGCCCGAGGACTGCAGAGGCATCAAGAGAGAAAACATGCGCCAAAAATTGATTTGGGGAAGTTAGGTGTGCCAGATGTCGTTCCCACAGCCGTTTCGCACCTTTCAGCCTCCGGGTCAAAAGCCCCATGAGAATTAGGGTCTGACACGGCTCTGCGGAGAGCTGAGACAGCTTTCAGGACAGTGAGTGAGTGCAGTAAGCTCAGGGATGGGAGGGTGGAAGTATGTGCATAAGTCACGTTTTGTTCTAAAAAGCCTTCTCTTCGTAAAAGCCATCCTAAAGTAACTCTGAACCACTGTTGTCTTGCTGATGGGTTCTTCCTGTTTGCAGATTTGCTGGAGTTTCAGGCTAGCAAAGTTTTTTTTACTGAATCAGTTTCTACGGGTCCTGCATTTAACTTAACTTCTCTATCTCCACAGTTTCCATACTCGGGAGATGTAACTGGCTGAACTTACTCAACTTTCAAGTGTTTGATACTTGTTAAAAAGGGGAAGGCTTTGCAGTGTGTTGCCCTGAAAATGTGTGAATTGCTTTGGGCTCTCTTCCTATCCCGTTTGCATACGGTGCTGTTCACGCCATTCATACACGACGGAGAGAATGTTCCTCCCCGTTCCTCTGCCACCCTCTGACCAAGGGTTTCCCATCCGTTATGAGCACGCCGCCCAGTCAGGACAAGCGCGGGAAAGGGCTATCAAAATATTTGAAAGCAATAGCGCGCCATGGACTCATGGCTGTCAGGGCAGAGCTCAGCATTCTGTGACAAAAAAAAAATGGTGAAACAATTATTTCTCTGCTTGTCTGTGCATAAAACTTGGAACTGAGAACTGATAGGTTCTGTCCATCTTTTTTGCTACAAATGGAAATAAGAGTTATATTTTGTAACTGGACTACAAAAACCTAAGGTACTTCAGTGGTGTTTTACATGTAGTCGCATAAGACAAGCAGTTGCTACTAGAAAGAATGGAAATTAACTTTATATCAGCCTAAGTAGTTTTTTTGGGGGGTTTTGTTGAGTAATTTCATTCCAATACTATATCTATTAAAAAGTTATACATAACAAAGAACTCTTTTCTTCTGACTGCCTATTTGTACCAGGAGGCTTGCAAAAAGTCAAAGACGTCAACTACAGTGGTGAAATAGTATATGCTAAGAGGCAAAAAACCGCTGTCCCTGGACTGGTGGTAAAAATAGCCCTTTACTGTGTGAGGGAGGGGAAGGAAGGGTTGAAACTTTCAGGTTCTTTGAAACCTACCTACATCTGCAGTGCCTCTCAGTTTACTCATTTAGCCAATGGAAAAACAAAATCTCTAAAGAAATAATATGATGGGTTTTTCTTCAATAGCTTAGGGGATTCTAAGTGAAATGAGGCAACAGTTATGTGGTTCCAAAGGCTTCGGTTAACATTGCCTCTATTCCCAGGTTTAGAGGCTGCAGGTTGCACAACATATATTTTAAAAAAATAGTTATATCACAATATTTTTGCAAACTCTAGGTTTCCATTACTGCCAGATGACATCTTTGCATCACTATGGTTTGTCTGTAGTATTTCTGAAGTTAAGTAGATGCTGAAAAGAAGTGCTGTATTGTAAAACAGGTCATTGAGGTCAGTGGAGAAGCCAAAGGCAGCTGTGGTGCATGGGATGTGAATGAAGTGGGGTAGTATCTGAGGTCAGAGAAATATGCAGGGGAACTTGCAATTACTAAGCTGAACTTAATTATCTCTCATCTAACTCATTCAAGTTTGGGTTCTGATCTCATAGAGTAGGCAATTTCCTTAAAAAAATGCATGGTGATATATTACACTGTGGAAGAGGCACAATGAGAAATAAGTGTTTCTATCTTGCTCTTAAATAGTTGAATTCGGATTTCGTTCTGGTAAAAGCATCTTTGAGGTGGTAAGTTTCTAATAAGTCATAAAAAATAGAAGTGATAACAGGCAATAGAAGTGGCTTTCCAAATGTTGGGCTACTACTAATAAATGGATGTGAGACATAAATATGTTAAAATACTTTGTCGCTTCTTTTCGCTAAAGTAGCCTTGAAACTGCCATAACTAATTAATGAAGGATTCATGAACAAGTAGGAAGCCTCTGATCACACAAAACTGCTGTTGTATTTTTATATGTCACACGTTCCTATCTGCTTCCTCAGTAGCAAAAGAGCTGCCTGGAACAGTCTTGTGCTGCAGTCATCACAGTATCTGTGATAACTCATCCAGACATACTTTAACGAATTTTAACGTTCTTCAAGACCTTGCAGGCTCTGGGCTGGTTTAAGAGCTGAGAAGAGCTATGAGATACATTAGCAAGTCTTTGTCGTCCTAGCTCCTCATTGGCACTTTTAAATCTCTCTCTGATTGATGAATAGAAGGGTCTTCAGTCTCTTTTTCAAGTTCTAGTACTTCTGTTTATGGTGTCAAGTGTTCTAGACTGCAGATTCATTTGTATTTGGAGTATTTTTGAATAGTAGCTTATGTAAGATACAGAGGCTTGTAATCGAAGTCAGGCGCAAGTACAAAATACAGTGCTTCAGGCTGAAGCACTAAGTGTCCATTTTCTAGTCTTGAGTTTCAAATCCTTGCCCACATGAGTTTGGGGTAGTCATGGATTATTGCAGAGGAACTTACACCAAGTTCTTTAGATGTTTTGGCCTATTGAATTTTGTACTTACAAAATGTTGCAGAAATTCTTCAATAGCATTGCTCTCAGATTTGATTGACTGGCTAAAGTATATAGGAAATAATTTGCAATTTGCCATCCAGTCTAAAGAAAAAAATTAGTTTTAGCTACAAATGAAAGCAGTAAATTCAGCACATACTGTTTAACATAAGGCCAGAAAGTTCTGCCTGCAGTTTCAGTCTTGCTCCCTTCCTTTAAGTCTCTGCTACAATTAACCTGTGAACAAATTGCCCTCTAGCTCCCCCAGCTGAATCATTACAGTGGAAAAGTGAACAGTTTATGGTTTTCCCCAAAAGGCAAAGCTCTGTTTATTCAACTTTGATTTTGGTAAGTTTGGGTTTTGGTGGTTTGGCTTTTTTATGGCGCTTGCACTGCTCATACCTTGCAAGTGACCTTTTTCAAATAGCCATACTGTTCCAAGGAACATGGGATCTTCTGGACTTAGGTCTGTTATAAAGGATGGAAAGAGGTGTCATTTAAAATATTTTAGGCAGAAGTCATTTGAGGGATGTAAGAGGGATAAAACCTATCAGATCTATGAGAACAGAAAATACTTCCTAGGTGAGTAAAAATAGACTCTGAGGCCCTGACATCTAGGAGCAGGATATCAGAAGGCTTATTGCCTTTGCAGTAGACTTCATTGTTGCATCAGTTAGCAATAGGGTCAGAGGAGTTATGGAAGAATAAAAAGGATGGTGAGAGGCTGTTGGGCATGGAAAACACTGGAGCAAGTTATATAAAACTGGTTTCTTGATGACATTGCAAACATCTGTATTATGATCCTTGAGGCCAAAACCAGAAGTGGCTTTATAAGTTATGACCTTATTTATCTGCAGTTGCATTGTTTCTATGGATGTATTCAAAGGAGATTATAGCAGAAGTTATCTTCCAGCTGTGTAATGTACACAGGCATGGGCAATTACTTATTTCTCAGTGACTTTATGACAGCACGTGCTCCTTTTCCCTGAGGCAACCAAGCTGCCATGTCCTCTTGAGCTTATGCAGTGCTGCTCTGTTGCTTGTGCAGAATACTGCATTTTTTCATTTGATAAAGCTTTTATAATGTCATAGCCTGAGCAGGGACTCATCAGGGTGTCTGGGATGTCAGATTCTCACTTCCCTCTCCCACAAAAGTCTGCAATTTCAAGGCGGTTGAATACTTGCCAGTCAGAGAAAGAGAGGAAACATAAGGCAGCATGTCAGCAGAGGGCCAAAATAATCCTGAATCACCATATTCTGGAGCAAAGGAAAAGAGGAATGAAATCCAATGAGTGTTGAGGAATGGTGGTGCTTTTTCTTGTTACAAACCTCTAAAACAGGCACAGGAATGAAGAACTGAGTCAGGCCGAACTTATCTCTCACATCATCATTGTCTGGTTTTATTTGATTTACTGATGAAAAGTCTCAGTCTCTTGGGGTCTAATTTATTGCCCTGGTCTTCTCTACTTCTTCCATTTCCTGCAAATCCGTACAAAAGCAAGTGCCAGGTAAGTCGTTGTTACAAGAGGATGAAATGCGTTGCTAGAAGGGAGTTACCAGAAGTGCCTTTTGCAATTTAAAGGGGGACTAATTTTTACACCTGGGAGTGTAATGGAGTTTTCTTTTCTGAGGAAATTTCAATCAGGTTAACATGCTCTGTAATTCATGCAAACCCTGGAAATGTCTCCCTTAGGAAATGAGAAATTTTCCATGACATAACTCCAAAATTCAAATCCAAAGCTAAATTCCACACTTGTTTCTTGAAGTATATGTTCAGTACATGGAAGTTCACATCTCTAACATTAGCCAATAGCATAATTGTGTATTCTTTTAAACTCTCTGATGCATTGGACAGTAATAAATGCCAGTTCTGCTCTCAGCATAGGTGTTTTGTTTGGTGGGTTAATTGTTGCAGGCTTTTTGGTGGGGCAAGAGGTGAGAACGTGAGAGGTGTGATTTATGGGGCTTTTCTCCATGCAAACAATATCCCATCAGCATTAGTACTCTGTGGTCTGTACTGGCAGCCTCTTCTGGGTAACTAAACTAACCCTTAAACATCAGACGTTTTGGATTCAGCTGTGTTCAATCTGAGAAAGTCTTAAAAATTATGCAAAAGAGTTTGTTCAAATAAGATCATGTGTTGCCTTATTTTATAAGAAGTTTTTTTCATAAACTATCATGTGTATGCATAGATAATACCAATTCAATAATTTAGTTAATGCTTATTCATGCAAACATCTTAAAAATTAAAAGCTTGCTTTATATAACTTAGAATAAATGTGTAGCTTCTCCTTACCCTGGATCCATTACTGCTTTTCAGAAGAAAGCAAGTGTTTCTTAACTTGGCAATAGTGTAGCCTTTTGGGGTGTGAGAGCCGAGGTAGAAGACATTTCGGTGTGTTCGCTCAAGGTTTTAAAAAATAACTCTGTTTAAGAACAAACGCTAAGAGCTGCTGGTGAATAACTGCAACAGTGAAAGGAGCATGCAGGACATGCATAGGTAAGGATCTGCCATCCCCAGCAGAGATGGCAGTTAGACAACCTTTATTTGGTAGCCATTTGCAGTAGAGATTGTTTAAGGTCTGCCACCAATAGACACGTCGTTGGAGAGATGTTTGCTTTAGGCTAGAGTTTAGGTGGCACTCAGAGGTATTACTTGTACTTCTTATGAACTTTTAGGCTGAAGAGCACTTACAGGAACAGCCCTTGACCAAAATTGAGTGTAATGTCACTTTCTATCTGAGTAATGATGGAGAAGCCCATCCTCGCTGCCAGCTATCACATTCAGAGCCAGCATGTTCCCTTTGGCTACCCACAGTCATGCCTTTGCTCAAGAAGAAAGTAAAAAGTCAACATG